AAACTATGTTATATTTAAGTTAGAAAGCAATTGAAAAACGTTTTGTAATGCAGTTGTAATAATTAATATGCAATACGTGAAAACGCAACAGCACGTTTCGGTAGATGTATGCGATTACGTCGGAAAGGAAAACGTAACAAAACAATAATCGCATTGTAGCTGACAAATGTTCCTTGGCGCCGAGGGACTGCGATGGAATCGCAAGGGAGATCCGTGTGCAGGCAATTGTTTTGGACCGCATGGTGTGTTTACTATCAAATCGAGTTGGCTCATTACGGGGTAGGGGAAAAAACGTATAACATAATTATTTGTACGTTTTAATTGAAACATTTACAGAAGGTGACTTAGCAAAATGAGAACAAAAAACGAGTAAGCAAGATGACACGTGCAAATATGCAGACATTCAGTCATCTTCACGGCGACGCGGATATAGTAATCATCTGTGCCGTTTTAATAAAACGTTAATCAGGATACTCAGAAACGGGTATTTTCTTGTCCTATTGAACATATTCAACCGTAGCTCGGGAACACAAAGTAAAAGGATCTTATTATTACAAATAAATGTTGATTGATTCAGATGTGTCACATCGTTCGCCGATTACAATCAGTTTTTACACTCGACATTTTGGTCATTGCACTTCCAACATAACGTTTTTTTTTTTAAGCCCGAGAAACGTTCACATCATTTTGAAACGTGATAGCCGTGTCCCGGGGCCTGAGATATTCAACTTTTTTCCTGTGACGAGCCTATCACAACACTGTTACTTCGGTAAATGTATTCAAATACCTCATGGAAATAATATTTAATTGTTAAATTAAAGTTCATTAAAGTTCAGTTAAACCTATTCCACGAGTATGAGTAAGTAATTTTCCCCGTGCGACTTCAACAGACAAGATCTCATCAAGCACTTGAATTTCGTTGTTAAACAAACAACATTGGCACTACGCAGTGTTCAATAATTTCGTGTGTGTAGATTTTTGTTGCTGTCAATATTAATACACAAAACATTCTATACGTTTTTCGGTTTTTTCCCGCTAAGAGAAAACGGTAAGGCACGGGAGCCCACTCCACATGCACAGGACACCAGTGTATTTGTATCAAATTATGTGCACGGTGAAAACCACAATTCCAACGCGAAAACCGCAGTTAACACCGATGTTGGTCAGTGAACTTTCCAGTGAGTTACGCATAATATTTTACGAATTTTGTCGTTTCGTCGATTTTCAAAACCCATTCAATTACACGTACACACGCACATACACACATATATATATACAAATATGTAACCCATAAAACATCGATTCGCGTGCACGCAATTTTAATTCGACACAGAGAATATAGTTTTCCAGTGGAACCAAAATGTCGCCATATCTTCGTACAGGTCCCCTGTATTACCGTATTCTATTGCTGCGCACTGAAGGGGCGCGTGGATATCCTAGGCGAAAAATATTACCCGTACGAGTTCCGTGTGAATATTTTAAAACGCCGAGTCCGGTGTTGGGTACGTCGCGCGTTCGCAGCTGTGGACCAAAACCGATCACTATGACCGCGATCGGTCGAACGATCGATACAAACGCGGACATGAGTCGAAACACTACCGGTCCTCCCTCCCCCGTCCATGATTTTACATATTTCGCATTTTTTCATGCATATTTAATCATCTTTTTCGTGCATATTTCGCTTTCTTTTGCTCCTATAACTTCCGAACCTTAGTTATCATCAGGGCTAGGATTTTTATGCAACAGCATGTTTTTTTTGGAACTTCTGATTATTGTTTTGTCAGTAATGTCCCCGAATCACCTCATGATGAGATAAATGGTGGTATTTATATTTTGTATAAAATGCATATTATTGCATATATTAAATAAAATTAATATTATTGTATATTTCAATTATAAGAATGCGAAAAATGAATGTTTTTTAGTATATTTCGTAATGAATATTTCGTATTTAATTCTAGCCCTACTAATTAGAGTATAAACTTGGTTTTTTTGTCAAATAAATTTTATTTTATTTCTTAATTATAATATATTAAGACAAACAGCCAACCACTGATGTAATTCAATAAATAAATATTTTTTTTTTGAAACTATATTTTTGTGTTTATCTTATAACAATTTAAATGCATATTTTTGATTATGTTAGTAAATAAATCTTAGCCCTGGTTATCACTTTCGAACGGGAGTCCGACGTGCGCATTGCAGTGCATGCAGTTTTATAATACGCGTACACCGCGCGGGTTATGGCAGACGACAGCGATTTGACGGAGGACATTTTTTCCTTTTTTTTCCAGTCGTCGATCAGTTGCCTATATCAATCGATTATATAAAAAAAAAAAAAAAATGCGGTACCTTACCGGTCATCATTGTCTGTTGCACCGCTACGCACACGCGCTCGTATGTATAGTTCGCGTCCGCTCCCATCGAAACGTATCGGTTCGGAGATGCCTTGCGTAACCGCGCGAGCACCAGTAACACGTATCAGCACCATTAGCGTGCCGCTCTCGCACGACACTGAAGAAGGAAGGAAGAAAAGAAAAAAAATTCTGTTAAAGACACACTCAGTGGTGTATCCAGGATTCATTTAACAGGGGTGTTTTAAAATTTAATAGACTTATGGTAAGCAGGGGCTATGCCCTCCCCCCCCGTATTACATTAATATAAATGAAAACGATTATATTAATACAGTATATATGTCAGTATATATATATATATATATGTAAAATCTACAAGTTGTATACAACGTTTATTTAAGTTATATTGTAAGTAATTTTTTAATTTGGTGAAATACCATAAAATACGGTCGATGGGGGGTGTTCTAACACCTATATCAACCCCCCTAAATACACCCCTGGACACACGTATAACATGCATGTATATTAATACGGGAACGGTGTGCTTGAAACGCGTTGCGACGATTGAAGATTCGGCTCGGACACGCAAGAGGAGTCACCGAGATAAGTCATTCGATAGATTACCCGATCGCGTATTACGCGCGACATCGTTTTTCATAAGCAATCGTGCGAAAAAAAAACTCGCCGAAAACGATCCGGCCACATACATAATGCGTAAATTAATTCCTTTTTGGAACGTTAAAATCTACGTAAAACGTTGGATCGGATTAGGTAAGGCAGTTGGGGGTTGGAGAGGCTACGTGAAGTCGACCCGTCGAACGAAAAAACTGAATTTCTTTGAGGGTATTGAGTTGCAAGTAGTCAATCGCTAACTGCGGACACGTGCTTGGTATCAATATGACAACATAACGGGAAGGGGGTGGTCTTTTTCGTTTGTCAACGATATTTTTTTCTATACGCACTGGTTTTTTTAACATTACGAACCCAATGGTGTGTGTGTGGGGGGAGGGGGGGCAAGGAATACCACCCGAGTATCAATCAAAACATTGGCGGTTCGTTAAACTTAAAACTCTTGTTAGGTAATTAATTATACATAAGGAATCGATATGCGATTAGTGCGCGGTCGTAATGTCAACAACGTCAACGGTCAACGAGGTATACATTAGATAACGTAACCTATTGACTCGCGATAATCGTTCGTACTTCGTAACTACGATAAAAACAAATACGGAAACTCGCATGCCGAACGTAATTTGTGAACCGATAAGATCGTCGATTTTCGAAAAATATTCTCCTTCGGAGTCGAAACGTCAAAGGAATAAAAAAAAAACCCATAAAAACGTATCGCAATGGAAGCGGTTATTGAAATGTATATCGATTACAACGAACGTAAACCCAGTACACGAACATTGCGTTACGCGTTTCACTCTCGGGTTCTAAAAACAAAAAAAAAAAAAACGTCTCGCGCACATACCGTTTACCGACGGCGAGGAGCGCATTTCGTTTTATTTCATTTTCCCTCCACCCTACTCCTCACCGCCGTCATTATTAACGGAAACTCAAATCCTCCGTACACATACTTGCACATATATTTATGTACGTATGTAATCCGCTCTTTGTGCGATACTCACCGCAAGCGTTGATGTGTCTGCCGCTGAAGGTTCTTCTCTCGAAATGCGCATGGTATTTTTTTTCCCACAAACCCCCGTCGGACGCGGCGCGGCGCGCGAACAACAACCATTTCAAGTACGGGAAAACACGTAGCCGACGAGACCACTTCTATGGCCGCCTTGACTTACTCTTCGCTAATGTCCACCGCGATTTACGTACGCGTAAACGTCATACATGTGTTGTGCGCGCTTCTCGTTCCGACGCGCGCTGTCCATTTACGTTCGGGACCGGAGACCGTTCGACATCGATCCCGTACGAGTCAACGACAAGGCGAATAAAATAATTAGCCACCGAGAGGGAACGAATAAATAAAACTCGTTTTTCTTTTGAATAAATATTCGACGAGATTTCAACTGCACGTGCATCTGTAAGCCTGTGCGCTCGCAAACGTGTTACGATTAGAATGACGCAAGGGTGTCGACCGGAAAAATTATAATTTTTCGTAGGCACTTGTTTGTTCGTACACGTCTGCACCCGTACCGATCATCGTTTCCGTGTAGTTGTCCCCAGTCTCGCCGATTGCACGCGTCACACTCGCATTGGAATTCCGCGTGCAAATCGTAGGACCGGCGTGTTTCCGGTCCAAAGGGCAAACTTCACCGTGGGCTCCGGCACTTTACTTACCGTACACATTTCGACCGGCGTCGACAACGTATTACCATGTTTGTGTGATAATCGTCGCTGGCGAACGATCGGAACAGGCGGAAACGTGGGATAGGACGAGAGTAAGGGCACACGTGGATGGATTCAAAACGCAACGTGTAACAAAGAAAAAAAAATCTATTGTTTATTGAATATTATTTACAACACAACGACTTAATGTTAAAAATAAATTAAAAAAAAAAATTATATGTATATATACATATAATCGTTATAACTATTGAAAAAACACGGCTACAGCTTAAAAATAATATTACCTATTTAATATGTGTATTATCTTCGATAATTTTTCTAATTATAATTTTTATTATGATAATAATAATAATAATAATAATAATAATAATAGTAGTAGTAGTAGTGGTATTAGACGACTGAAATATTTTTTAAAAGAATCGCAATCAAACCCATCCGATGCGTTAAACCGCAATATACAGTATCTACGAACGAAACAATACAGGAATATACGACGGACGACGTTAAAACGTATTCTTTACTTTTGTATATGTAGATAACAACATTTGTTAATAAATATCTGTTACGTTCAGTCCAAGTCTAACGGTTTGTTTAAAACGATAAAACTTATAAAACGTCGTCGAAAAAATATTCAACAACGATTATTATACGTTATCCGAAAAGGTCATATATACTACGTCTTATCTATCAGTGAAATGTTTAAAACTTTGTACCGTTTTACTAACAATTACAATAGGATACATTCTACGCGTTCAAATATTAAAAATAATAATGGATAAATATAAATATTATAATAAAGTATATTGAATATTGCAATTTGCCCGGCTCGTTATCGGTCCATACCGACACAAAAGATAAACAATATATTATTTTTTTTTTTTTTTGTATACAACTCGAACGAGTGAATATTATATTTACAATAATGACAGAAAATAAAAACGAAACAGTAATAAAAATCTAATAAAATAAAATATAATCAAATAAAACTAATCGTTCGCTACAGGTAGGTGGAACTGCTCCGAACGTTTGTACTACTTCAACTCGGAAGCTCTAAGCGTGCGCGTCCATTTTCCATGAAATTTTGCCTGTTAAATATTACACACCATTGAAATATAATCGTATACGGGTGGAGGGGGGGGACTTCAAAGGCATCTTTACACACGACGAATAAATATTATCGATTTTTAATCGGAGGGGGAGGGAGAGTGAGAGGAAAACAGAAACCGACAATTATCCGCAAGTGTTAAACGCACGAACAATCGGAACAATACGTCGTATCCTCCGTACGAACCACGGTAACGGTTCCTGAATTATATTCCACCGGAAAAATTAATCCGAACGTCAACGAAATCGTCGTCGTTTTTCACCGGGATTGACGTTGGATCTCGCGCGAACAAGCGGACGCGAAAAATGGGAAAAAAATGTGTACGGTTCGTAAGGATAAAACGCGTGGAAACGCGGGTCGGCCGATTGGGGAAACGGTCGCGCCCGCGATCGCAAACAGAAACGCGTTACGATGTTCGGTTCGATAACGGAAAAAGGACAACCGGATGAGTGTGTGGGGGGAAGGTTTGCAGTGGAACGAGAGTTTCGGTTTTCGTACGGTATATTCGTTGGGTATGGGGGTGAAAACGCAAATACCGATGCCTTTTTCGAATGAGAAATATTGATAACAATAACAATATAATGATCGTTACTTGTAAAGCGCGTTGGCCTTGACCGACAGCCCGGCGGCGACTTTTTCGATGTTCTTCATGTTCTCCATCTTACGGATCGCGTGAAGCGGTATGGCGGCCGGCATCTGGTGCTGCGAGGGCATCCTGGACGTGGCGGCCGGGGCTGGCGTGGTCGCGCTCGTCCTGTTTTTGATGCTGCTGTTGCTGCTGCAGTTGTTGGCCGCCGCGGTGCTCGCGGCCACCGATGCCGCGTATTGGGCCAGCTGCTGCTGGTGGTGCCGGAACAGTAGCACCGAAGGGTTGGGGATGTGCCGAACGCCCTGGTTGGGCGGCCCGTGCTTGGGCTTGCAGGCGTCTGCCGCGGAGGGGCCGCGGGACGAGACCTTGGCCTGTGTGGGTTTGTTGTTCAGCGGGCCGGTGGCCGGAGAAGCGGAAGACTTGCACGAGAACGTCCCGGAGGTCGGTGGCACCGGTATCCGCAACGGCACGGTCCCACCGCCGTGCCGCTTCGGCGAACACGACCCGTTACCGCCGGCGGTGCTGCTCGCGTTGATGCCGGCGTGGTGCACGCCACCGCCGCCGAACCGTTTTTTCGGCTCTTGTTCCTTGCAGGACAGTGACGACGACATCTGCATGTTCCTGATGTGCACCGCGGTGTCGGACAGTGTCATCAGGTTCCGCATGACCGCCGACGGTTCGTACTGACCACCACCGTTGGCGTGTGACAACTTGTTGTGGTTGCTGTTGTTGTTGTTGTTGTTACCGACTGTCGAGGATGAGTAATGCTGCGGCCCACCGCCGCAATCCTTTCTGGACGATTTGCCCGACAGGTCCAATGCCGAGTCGTTCTGCGGCGACCCGTTTTCTAGCGATATCGTCACGCTAGACTTCTTCGGCTCGTCGTGCTTCGTCCCGATATTGTTATTGTTGTTGTTGTTGTTGTTGTTCGTATGGTTGTTATTGTTGTTACCGGTGGGACTTCTGTTCTGTGGTATGATCGTTATCGACGGTTTACTGGCCGACTTGATGGGAATGACCGCGGGCACAGGTTTCTTGGTTTTGGGCCTGCTGCCGGGGGACCGCGGACGCTCCTCGTATTGCTGTTCTTTGGACTTGGCACTGGCCTTCGGCACGTCTGCCGCTACGGCGGCCGCTGGTGGAGAGGTGGGCGGCCCGTTAACGCGGACGATCTCCAGCGACGGCCGTTTGTTTTCGAAGTCCCGATTGCCCGTCAGCATGAGCGTTTTGTCCTTTTCCATCTTCATCTTCTCCTCGGCCGTTATTATACTGACCGTGATCGACGACGGGGGCATAATGATCATCTTTTGCTGTTGCTGCTGTTGTTGTTGCTGTTGCTGCTGCTGCTGTTGCTGTTGCTGCTGTTGCTGTTGCTGCTGTTGCTGTTGCTGCTGCTGCTGCTGTTGCTGTTGCTGTTGCTGTTGCTGCTGCTGCTGCTGCTGCTGATGTTGCTGTGACTCCGCGCCGACGTTTGACTGCTGCTGTTCGACGGCCGGTTTTGATTTGGGCCGCGCGACTCGGATCGGTGGCTGTGCAACGGTGTCCTTGGACGACGACTTCTCGGACCTAGGAGGGTCGGCTACGGTCTGCGGCGACAGCAACGTAGCGGGCGCCTGGGACTTGCACGCATCGACGGCCGGCTGTTGTACTTCCGCCTGCGTTTTGGTCTCTTCTCTGGATTTCTTCGGCGCGATAATGCTGTCGCAAGACTGTTCCGACAGCACGGAGTCGTCTTCTTTGTACGACGACCTGCTCGGCGACGACATCACCGACGAAGCCGAGGATGTGCTACCGCCGTTGCAGTGTTTCGCACCGTGTCTGTGGTGTTTATCGTCCTTGTGCCGATATCCCGGCAACGTGTTCAGTTTCACCTTGAGCTTCATTATATCCCTGTCGGGAGAGTGAACGATGGTCGCCGTCTGCGGAGGTGACTGCGAGATCCTACTCCGCTTGTGATGATGGTGGTGTTTGGCTTTCTTGTTCTTTCTTTTGTTCCGTCCTTCCGACTTCCAGTGTTTCTCCTTGATCACCTTCTCGTATTTTTCTTCTTCTTCTTCTTCTTCTTCTGCAGCTTCTTCGATGGCTTCGTCGATGACGAACATCTGGCTAGTCGTTTCGTCGTTGTTCACTTCGTCTTCGGACATGTTTGACGATATCCTTAGGCGACCGATATCGTCGTCGTCGTCTTCCTCGATGATCTCTTCGATATCCTGTTCGTATTTGGAAAAGTCTTCATCGGACTCCTGGAAATCCTTATCTTCGTTACCGTTACTATTCGTTGTACTTTGTAAAAGACTATCGAATAAACTTTTTTTCGGTTCTGGTTCGTCATCTGAAATCACACGGTTCCTCTTCCGCTTTTGAGAAGCCTTTCTTTCCGATTCCAGTCTTTCCATCAAAGGTTTTGAATCTAAGCTCGTATTCGAAGCATCGTCGCAATCGGAAATGCTTTTGGACGACATGAATGGTAAAGAAGAAGACGCTACACTATGACAATCTTCATCTACATCTACGTCCTCTGCTAATTCTACCTTTTCCTCTACTGGAACAGCAATAGTAGATTTTTCTAGGATTTGGAAAAATAGTTCCAATGGTGAGGTCTGAAAAATAAAAATAGGAAACTATAGAATCGACTAACACAATTATAGGCTGTAATAGTACAAGAGTATTACCTGTTTCCATTCGAAGCAGTAAGCGATATCTATTAATGACAAATGATCGGGTAAATATTCTGTTGAATGAATGATTTCCACCTGTAATATAATAAATATAAAATTAATTTTTTTTCCGAAATAAAATTAAAACGAAGTTCAAACTAAAGAATATATTAATATCTTAACACCAGTCAATATCAATCATACTTTAGATCATGGCAATTTATAAACCACGAAAAATGATTTAACAACGTAAATATTACCCATAAATAAAATATGTATAGTACTAAATTGTATCAAATCAATATTAAATGTTATTTGTAAAACTATTATCAAATATTAATCCTAAAAAGGTTTAAGAAATCGTTACCTGGTGTTGATCAGTTAGAAAATATTTCAGTACGATAAACTTTTTCAGAAGTTCCACAGTAACGGCGGCCGGGCATTTAAGAAATTTTCGGTGTGAGATCTATCAAACAGAAACAAAATGTATTCAACAAAAACTCTTAAAATAATAATAAAGAAAAGATAACACAATATTTTTTTAAAAAAAAAAAAAAAAACATAAATCACACTCCATAAATAATGGAATTGGCAGTATGTTAAAACTCAATTTATTCACCTTTAAATCTTGGTTCGGCGCATCGTGGTTTTCCTCTTCGCCGTCCACCAGAGCCTTCGGCCTGTAATAAAAAAATGAGATAAAAAATGAAAATAGATTTGCTTTTAGTCTTGAGAATACACGACGTGTCGAGGGATGAAACCTGTAATTCTGATGTTACAAACGACTAGTCATTTATCCCCAGGGGTTTAGGAGGTCTACTATATATATACTACGAGTGAAAGTACACGGGAGCTTATCAATAACCAGACTAGGGTTGAAGAATTCAGTCGACTACCCAAGACCGCGGTGGGTTTTATTGCATTTCCCGTTTTTTTACGCACTGCCAAACTCGTTTCGTCGGAAGCATAAAAAACAACAATACCATCGTGTTTACCAACCGCTAATCCTGTGTTAACACTTTGTCTATCATTTAGAGCCAAACGGTGAGCAAAGAAAACTAACACACCGGTAATTCGACGAGGCGTGACACGCTGCTGCGTATAAATTACTGTGATTTGCTGTTCGCCCATCGGACCGGTCCGACAAAAGGAAAACAATACATAACACACAACATTCAGAAGTGGCGTAACGCGCAGGTTGGGTACACACCCAATACCTCGGGTCTTGGTATTTCTTACATTTAAAACATCGTTTAGGTCCCGCAACGATTCGGACTGGACGGACTGCCGCGCAGCCGACGAAGCAACACACAATCGACACGTAATTGCACATCACAAGATGAATAAATGCCGTGCGCGACGGTCAATAATCGCGCGTATACACGGATAAATATACGCGCGCCGAATCCGTAGATATTAATCAAACTCTGCCCCTCGGGTCATATAATAAACCGGACTACTGTTCCGCGGTCGATAAATAACGCGCGTTTATCATCACACCGAAAAAAAAAACATCGGACACAGCGCGCGACCCACTCGTAATGAATACATATTTGTTTAATAACATAAACCCAATATGTTTTGTCCCGAATATTTATACTAGGTTTTTTTTTCCTTGGCACGCACATATTATACATGTGCGATAACCCCTCGGCACATAAATCGCTGACACCGTCGTCGTTAGAGGGGCGCGACGCGTCCCGAGTTTAAAAACGGCTCCCCGAGGGTTGGACGATTTTTAATCAAACGCGCATACGTCCGTATCAGTGGAACACCGCCACCGCACCTCTACGTTTCGCGATCAAAATGTACCAAGACCCGATTGTCAGGATTAAAAATTATATTCGTGCGGATGCGTAGTCGTTCACCGCAGCAGTGGTCGCGTTCTCGATAACTGCCGCGAGAGAGAAAAAAAATATAAACTTTCAACGAGAAAAAAAAAAAAGCTTTCGATTTTTTTATTCGCGCGTAATATATGCGTATGAATTACGATATACGTGTGCATTTACCGTTTCACGAGCGTTTAGTAAGATTTACAATTAAAATATCAAAAAATTATGTTTACATTTACGTCCGATGCATATATAGTGTTAAGACGAAAATCAAAAAGTAACAGACCGTAAAACGAAGCGTTCGGTAATGGGTCAGTTATTTCAGCGTTCTAATCTGGCTAACCGTCAAAACGTATCGCGTTCTATTTGCACCACTAAACAACGACGGACCACGCGTTGATTGAAACAATCTCTGATACGTCGCCAAAACGCACTGAACGCGTTCTCCGGTGCATTGGTTCCCGTGGTCAGCAAACACTTGAACAACACGTCAACAATTACCCATGAGCTACCGTCGGACGCGGTTGTGTACCACGACGATCTCAACGCGCCGCGCCGTGCACGTGCCCGCAGCTGCGCGACTTCAATGGAAAAACGTAGCCGGAGCGTGACAATCGTTACGATCAACCAGCAGGGCAGTGACATTAAAAAAACGAACGACGCATCTAGTTCACCTCAGAAAGCCCTAGTATACAACATAATGTACATTCGGACGTGTGACGTGTATTTACGGACTTTCACGTTTTAATACAACTGTAGTACCTGTCAGTGTACGACCGATTTTTAAAAATCGACGGAAAATCGTGGGTGGTAACACGTGTCTTTATTGTAAAAACAATCGCATACACCTAAAATTAAAAACTCTATTTCGCAATGCATCAGTCGTATGCCTACATGAACAATCTAGTGCTCACGATGTACCGAAAGCGTACAATTATATCGACACGAAACCGACCTGATAACTTTAGTCTTAAACCAACTCACGCATACGGCCAAAAACCGTATCTAGACGATCCGAAAAAACACTGTTTAACTAAAACTAACATTAACAGTAATATTGCGGGCAGGCTTCTGTGAACCGTAACGTCTATACAGTCTTAAAAGCGAATAAACGTTGACGATACATTTTTATTTTATTCATTCTCTATATTATAGATATAACAACGATAGCCGTCTACACCGCATCCCTTAATCAATAGGATTCCCTATACAACTCTATACGTACTAATAAGAGACCGAAGTCGTGGATGTTCGGTCGGAGCGCATACGCACAAATTGAAATATCGACGGAAATTATGGACACCCTTGCTATTGTACCGACTGGAAAAACATAAACATCCCTATACAAGTCACGCGCCACTTGACCCCCGACCGGCCCGAGAAAATCGTTTATTGTTGTAAATTATGTTTGTATATACATATTACGTACGTGTATGTGTGCAAGGTTTGTGGTGAGCACCGATTCACTCGTGACACGCTCCGTTTATCAGTACACGTGGGTTTGTATATTTTTTTTCCACGCTCCCTCTCCCTCCCCCTTGCAATGCTTCCTACGTTGCGGCCCACAGTGCGGTCACAGCACGAACGAACACAATAAACGACCCTTCCCAAAAGTTTTTTCCCGATCATTTTCCTTTCTTTTCATTCCTTTCGGGAGTCCGTTACAGAAACGGCCACGTCGGTACCAAAGTACGTTTAATCAACGCTAATTAATTTTGCGTTAGCAACACCCATCGTGCTACTATTATTATGATTATCAATTCCGCATTGAAATGTCCCATTTTTTCCATTTCAATTACTCTTATAGTCCGATAGATACGATAGCACAGTTGCATATAAGAAAACCAAACGACGAAAACGTTTCACTCCACTCTGCAACGATCCAAAAATGAATTACTCTCAAAAAAAAAACATAATCTATTCAATTTTTACGACACAAATCAATGGGGACTACCGGACAAAAGAGGCTTTGAATATCGTCACACGTTATACGTTATATCGTCATACGTTTTTAAATAGTATATAATAGTATTATAAAAATATATATATATTATCTTATAACAGACCTACCTAACAACTAGTGTTTACTAGAAACAATAATTTACCAACAATCAATAGTTACATTATTCTTGCATTTTATTGTCGGAACGTTATAGGCTATCGTACGTATCATTCGTAATTGCTGCGATTTTAGTCCAGACACTAAGGAATATCAAAACATAAATGGTCGTTTTATAAGGATATTTGCTCTTTAAATAGTATACTCTTAACACAGACAATATATCTAAATAAATGTATCTATCCATAGTCAAATGTATTTGAAAAATATGTAACACACATTGATTTTTGTCTAGGCTATAAGAAATATATTGTTTACGTTAATAGTGTACAAAGAACATAACCAGAAGCTAAATCAATACAAAAACCATTTGTGATGATCTATAGTCACATCCAGATGCGTACCAGACTAATGCATGGTATAATTTAATAACTGTACCAAAAAACCGCGTAGCGGTGAAAGTCTTCCAATAACAGACGCACGCGTGTGGGAGGCGGTAATCGTTATTTTTCACAGCAATCACCCGTTAGAGCAACAAATGTCACGAGCTGCATTTTTTTTATTTATTGTTTATAACGGACGTCAAATTATCAGAACGACCCCAGTCGTTTCTTTAGGCGATTCTCATTCATTATTCATTCGGTTATTGGATTCAGACCGGCACAACGACTTATTAGATAATACGCGGTGTACGCATACTTCGTGTATATTGTATTTTCAATATAGAAGTTCTACGAACGACCAGTTTACGGTTTGAATACATAATACACACACACACACACACGCTTAAATTTAAATCAACGTCATTACGTTTTTCAGGGGTTTCTCGGTCATTGAAATGTCGTATAAAACAATATGAGTGTAAACGAATAATATTTACCCGGCGTCTTCGACGTGATACTGCAACACGACACTGACGAGGTCGTCGGGCGACAAATACAATTCTTTTAGGGGCAAAGCCCTACGGTCCATTTCCTTGGCGTACAGCCCGGGCACTATCTTGTACACCAGCCTTTCCAATATCTTGTCCCGTCTGCAAACGTCAATCGCGTTGTTATTGCAATACACATCGTAATGTAATGAACACACACGCGGTGAAACCGTAAACGGACGCTTACCTTATGCTCAACAGCGGCTTGGTCTTGTGTAGCTGCACGTCACATATAGGGCAAAACCGGCTCGTCTCCAAGTATTTGACAATGCAAGACCGGCAAACTAAACATAAACAATTTCAACATAAATATATATATATATATATATATATATATAAAACAATAACTGCTATATCAATAATAATAATAATATTTGTATACGTTCGAAAATGTACTACTGGCGCGGTAAGGCGTTGTTAATCATATCGTGAGCCGACTGTTCAATATAGTATTATGTTGCCTCCTCAGAGTGCGCGTGCGTGTGCAATTATCCTTAAAAGGTACCGCTGGAAACCGGCTCGCGCGTACGCTCTCGCGACGGTAATATCGTCGTCGTACGCGATAAAGAAATAAAACCTACAGCAACGTCTCGTTACCCGACCGATCAGTGTTCCGTCACGTCTCGAGCCTAATCTAAATATTACACGCGTTGTCGTCGGAATTTCGAATTCAACCAATATCGTCACGCTACTGCTCCATAGCGCAGGCCATGTCTTTTTCGAATCGAAATCGTACAAGGACTCGTAACACCGGGGGAGACTTACGGTACACGATTAAGTTTTTAAAATAATCAATCGTCGGACGCGAACGCTGAAGGCGAAACGTCGCATTCAATGTCGAGGATACATTTTACGTGAAAAATTAAAATACGCATACAGCGGTGTAGATCTAACGCGACATCGCTGCGCATTCGTAACGGTTATCGAATTACATCGGGACGGCTTTTACGTAAAAGCGAAAACAACATCGTACGAATGCGGACGCGATCGTCTAGGATTTCGGTTAGGGTACGCGACGCGAGATATGATTACGCCGAGAAGCAAATCACAATGGTGCACGTATTGCACACATCGAAGTATTCGTAATCGTCACGCATTCGCGGCGGATCGTGTGACGACCGTATTGTGGTCATACTACACGCGGCCATCGTTCCGTCACGAGCTTCGAAAATACATTGGATAATACGTGTGTATCATTATAATACAAGCAAATATCATATGTATATACTAATAATAACTGATTGTTATTCCGTTGAGCATAACGCGTAGTGTACGTGTAAGTGGAAGTGTAACCATATGGACCTGGAAATGCGCTGTTTACGGTTCGCAATCGGCTGATCAAGACGGAACACGATTACAATGCTTTTCGATACGCACGCGAAGACGAAATAATAGTAGGCACTACTACTGCGGCGGCGGTGGCTTCGACTGTTTCATACGGCAGTGATCGACAAAGGATCTATCATCCGTTGAACACGATCCAACGGACAAATCGTATCCCTGCACGCGTACACGGCAATATGGTGGATCGTGATGATATTGTGTTGCACACAGCTCTTCGTGCGCATATTGACGAGATAACGAAACGTGGAAATGCGCACAGAAATTACCGGCACACCGATAACGCGTATTGTCATTGCACCCCTGCACGTTCCGCGTATACAGGACCGAACTTAAGGGTCTCGGCGTCCCAAGGCAGCTACTAAAAAAGGGCCCTTTTATATATATATGTATTAATAACATTGCTTTTAATTTTTATGTATTCGACGTAATTTAACAACAAATTATATCATAACTATAAAACATACGTGTTAAATATAAATAAACATATTTATGAAAAATATTGATAATTTTAACGATACTATTTACATAATTTTTGAACTGTTACACGATGAATTTTTTCGCTGCAAAAGAACGTATGACTTCACTTTAGTCTACGGCTTGTATTATTTCTGACTCGAAGTACAACACGAAATGTATCCCCGTGTTGATCCATTTTGTGAGAAATTTTTTTTTTGTGTTTGGCCTAGGAAAGGTGCGGACCTCTGGGCAACTACCTAATCTGCATAGGTTGAAGTTCGGACCTGCATGTATACAATTAGGAACGACCGCACACTCTCCTTTGGTTTCCGATAACGATTTAACAGCGTCTCGGATACGATTGTGTCGAATGCCGTCTCAATATCACCGTGTACCGAACCGACGATGTACCCCAAGTATCAATTACCGCGCGCATGTGTTGCGAACAAAGAAATACATCGATGGGTCAATATTCAAAGACCAAACCAGTGTTTGCAGGATGATTACTGCAAACGACTTGGGTAAGAAAACGTGACGACAATAATTTTGTCAGCGCCATGAAACGACATTTCTACCGTAGCAGCAGTAACGCCAACGACGATTTGTCATGTGAGCTATTGTGAATAGGACCGGTTGGACGACGGTATACAAGTCAGTGCGTTCCATTCGGAACGTTGAGCGAAAAGAAAGCATAGTTATTTTCGGACGGACGGAGAAAACCGTTGATTCGAACTGTGTTCGAGCGAAAAGTTTGCGAATGTAATCCGTTGGAAAAAAAACACGATCTCGTACCGGAGGAATAATAATTAACAGCGGTGGAACGATCGGGAGATCAATGGACCGTGGGAAAACGACCTTGGCAGGGCACAATCAATTGAAACGGCAACCGATTCCAAAATATCATCTTCCTTATATTTTTTCATCTGTTGTACAAAACAAAACACAATGATCGTTATTCATTAGCAGCACTGAGTACTCTGTCCGCAACCTAACCTGCGAGTTGCGACCGACACCGCCACGGTGGACTTAATGAAACTTCGTTGTTATTATTACCGCGAGCGTTTATTTTTTCCGTAGATTACGTAGCACAAAAAACTGCTGAGCGTTTACGAACATTACACTTAAAATAAAGAAGACAACTATGCCGTTCGTCGTGTTCGACCGCGTGTCCGTGTGGATACGTATAACAATTATTAATATAGGTACAGCAAATTGTAAAATGCTTGTAAACTATTTCTGAAGAAAAAAAAAACGTTCATATTTTTAGGCATACCACCAACGAATCGTTTCGGATCACATGTAAGTGTACTGTTTATTTGAAATTTAAAACAATAAGTTTCCCGGCGAATACGTCGCGCAATAATTACAAAGAAATTAATTCAGACATTGAACGGTTTTGGCCTTATTCGTCGTGATGTAGATACAAACGAAACTTATAAACTTATATATAAGTCATAACAGAGTAAGAAAATAACCAAACTCGGCGGTGTGTAAAACAATCATTGCAAATTATGAGGATCTGGTAAGAGAGCCGTGAGTTTGTATTAGCGTATAAAAATTAATAACCGTTAAGAAATACGGTTGACCGTCCCTAAATAATATTACATAATATAAGACGGTTTATTGTTTTGTACTACGGTGTTAAATCAAGAACCTTACGGATTACGGTAACCTTACGGACAATGGTGTGTGCAAACAACAAGAAGGCTTTTTAAACACACTGTGTGTTCATTAGAGGACCCCGTCAATGTGTGAATCGCAACATAAACAGTGTATTATAAACGTGTACCTTGAACTTTTCAATAGCACGCCGCTACTGTTAAACAAACATCGTTTTTTTTCCGCACATCGATCACGATAAATAAAAAGATCTATACGCGAACGCGTAAAAAAAAAAAAAAATACCGACAAACCCGATTCGGAAACGAAATCGCGAGCACTGCGTTTGCATTCGACCCATTATTTTACTTTACGTGTTTCTCACGTACACAATGTCGAGGACGCTCTCGCTCTAATCGTCGGCAATTAGTGACTGAGCAGCTATAGCATCGTGCGTACGCAGAAAAATATCTCGTAAAAAAAAAACGTTAAGTAATAAACCGTACGAACAAATGCGTACGCGCGTAAATCCGGTAACCTTTTTGTAATGTCGATCAAACGCATATTTTTTCTTCCCCTAATACCCATACACGACTCAAATCGTAATACGTGTCGCGAGAGCCGTTCACAACGAGTTATAAACCCACACGGTGTTGGTGTAATGAACGCGATAATGAATAAATAAGATATGTATACTTACACGAGTGAAGGCACTCGACGATTGTTGTAGGGTCGACGTAGTAGCCGGCGCACAGGACGCATAATAAATGCGGGTTCAGGCTTTTCAACAGTATCCTATTTGTTTCGTTCATGGCTGTCAATGGCTCTGTAAGGGAGGAATAAAAAAAAAAATTAAAAAAAAAAACTAATATATATTTTTGTTAAACAAATTTGACACGTTCGTGACTGTTAACAGTTCCTAAAATCAACATTCATAAAATCTATTATGATGTTGATGACTTTTAACATTATTTAATACACAATATGTGAACGCTCTATCCCTGGCCTATTGTGAGATAGCAGACTGTAATCAGTCTTCGTTGTGACGACACAAAACATCTTACAACGAGTAGTAACTTCTTTTACAAATGTTCAATTATAATGTTTTAACATGGCAGGTTAGGCCAACTAATACCGATGTGTACACAGTTTAAGATTATAAACGTGAAATTTTAAATTATTAAATTAAAGATATGTACTAGCTAAAAGAAATTAAAGCATGTTGATACTATATTGTTACGTATATTTTTCAATTTAAATAAACAAACAAATAGTTTTATACAGAAATAAATAAATAAATGCTTAGTCTGGAATATTATTATATTTGTAAAGTAACGACCAGTTTCGAATAAAAAATTCATCATTAGGTCGCGCGACTACAGTTTTTCTAGAATTTTTTTTATTAATTAGTATATATAATATTAATTTACAAACGTTACCCATTTACTAATTTTTAATTTTTATTTATATTTACCGATATATTTATAAGGCAATTAATATTTATTAGAATATTATATAGATCATAAATCATACGGATGAACTTGATATCTTTTACAGAAATAATGGTTCATGTAATATTTCACATTGCGCAACGTTAATTTTTTATTACTATGTAAATACTATAAATTATTTTCATATTTATATAGATAATGCGTACATAAGCTTATCGATAAATACATACTTAATGTATTAGATCTATAATTAAAATATATAATACCAACTATATATATATATATATATATATATATATAGTATAAGTTTTTGTCGGTCCCACCCAATTAAAATATAATACAATCGATCCTTTAAATGTGAATGTGCTTTCTCAAACACTTTGATGGCACAAACCACTATGAATATAATTCATAGTCGGATTTTCTGCGCTCTTTGTACTTATCGTGCAGTGTTGGCATAAGACACACAAAGACGTACACACGAAATCCAAGGAAAATGAACTAATGACTAGGGGCGACAAACGCGCTGGGGGATCAGTGATTCATTTCATTAAAAAGATTAAACGATATTCAGCGATGATAAACACGAATAACGGTGGTTTTCTTGGATATAACGAACGGTAAAATAAAATGTAACGTTTCTTTTTCTACTACGCGAATCTTTATTTTCTAGTTAGTCTTTTCAAAAAAAAAAATATAATAAGAACGAGTAATGAGGTCTTCTCATCTTCCCTCTTAACTTTTCAATTTGTGGAATTATTCACCCCACGCTTTCTTAAAAACCACAGGTCGGGGAGGGCGTTTTCGCCCTCTATCAATGGTTGGTCTTTTAAGGGGTATACAATATAACATCGAATGAAAGAAAGCAATTGTATTGTTCTTGACACATATCATTTAGAACTTGGACGATTCTCATTATTATACAATTTTACAACCTCGGGCACGTATGAACAGAATATTAGCTTAGGCCACATTGCACCGCCCACTCACCCTAAAAATCTTTTCGTTTATCAAACTGACAATGGTGTTCACAACAATTTTACGATTTATTTAGTCTTATAAATTCTTAATCTATCTTTGAATTACACTATAAACGTGTCAGTTAAAAAAAAACTTTAAATAGATAAAAAATATGATTGGAAAATAGCCCGAAAAACGTTACGTTACATATTTTGTACCACACATTCTACATGAATATTCTTAAGGGTAATGGTGAAAATTTGTATTTTGTAGTTACCTCTACAGTATTAACTTCCGTTTATATTATTAATTAGTATTAACTAACTTAAAACATTTTTCACATCCACACGTAGACGAATGAGCAGTACACCAGATAACCTCGTTGTCGGGTAAAGCTAAGTAAAAAAAGTAGCTTTTTTTTTAGTTACTTCGAGTAATTTTTATTAAATATATATAAAGGTACAATCATTTATGAATATAATAACGATTAAGTAATAGATATATTGTTAATTTAATTTGAAATGTGTTTCATTCAAAATATACTATTGGGAATTAAAATAACAACACGATACGTTTATGATAAGTATGGTTTCAAGTAGGAAGTCTATAAAACGCTATGTGTACATCTTTGTATATATATATATATATATATATATCAAAACTAAATCGGAACCAATTAGTGTAACGTGGTATTTAAGATCCATTAAAGATTTATCTTTTTTTTTTTTTACACTATTATTATTGCATTCGACCGAGGGAAAACACCTTTAGACAATCCAAACCCTTCGAGCGCGCCCCTTCCCCAATTCCTTCGCACCGCTAGCCAGCAACGAAAACAACACAAAATTAGATTAACGCCCCGCCGACTGCGGCGCCGTGGGGTCGCTCTAGCGAAGTAAAAGTATTATATTATAGCTTTTTATTTAATCGCATTATCGAAGGGGGTGGTGGTATAGCCCACCGAGAAGTCGGCTTTACTCAAATTCACCAACGCCCCCGCCGCCCGCACATAAATCATCGTTAAACGCACGCCGTTGTCGTCATGTGCAGAATGCAGTCACGGCGTCAGTCAAGTGCTCGAGGAATCGATAAAAGTTCGTAGGCGCCACGCACGTTATCTATGCATTTTATTCACGTCACGCGATACACACAGCGGACCACGAGACCCAACAAAATATTTTGTTATATATATTACGAAAATACAATTTTGAAAATTTTGAAAATATTTTAAAAAAAAATGAAAAAAAAATGACCAATGTAATTATAATAATAAATTCGGACTTTGAATGTTCGATCATGATTTTTCCAGGAGAGGAGTAATAGTTTCCATATATTGTTGAAAAAAGGATCGATATAGTGTCAATAATAAATGATGTCCTTACCCGATGTTGCCGCTTTTTTAAACCTATAGATCTAAATTTTTTGGTGACATGCATTTTAACACATAATGTAGCAGTGATCAATTTTAACGTTTAATACATTCTTACATGAGTATATACACATTGCCTATATATTAAAAAAAATTATGACCTTACCCTGACGTTGTTAATTTTTTTAAACCTATAAAACTAAATTGTAACCTAACCCCAACACGTATTTACAGAAACACTGTTATTTATTAAGAACAATACTCATCACTATCTTACAAAATCCTTAGGAATATAACAAATAGGTATTGTTTAGGTCATATATTATATGTCACTAGTTTAAACAGAGAATTAATTTTTTAACGTTAATATGTTTATTAATAATTATAAACCGTAAAACAAGCAAAACTCATTTTTTGAGATAACTTAGCCGACATGGATGAAGCTAATATAGGCTAAAAGGACTAAGATCAAACCACCCAAAAATATTAATGGAACTTAATTAATGATATTCCATAAATAAATAATCGATTTTAACCCATCCAAAATTTGGGTAAATATTTTTTTGATATAGGTATTTATCAATTACTATTTATTTTCTTGTTTTGAAGCTAATACTGAAATTATAAAATTTGTATTTTTTTAAATTTTTTTTGTACCTGCAGTATGATGAATAAGAGTATTTTCGAGAATATAAAATGTGGTTTATCATTCATCTGCTTAAAGACTAAATATTTTATACTTCAAATTTTCTCGATATAGCGACGGTGAACAGTAGAAGATTTCAAAAAAGACATACCGCCAATTAGTCTCAGATGGGATTGTTTTTAGAGTACCTACGTATTTATCGTAGTATATATAACATACTCGATAAGTCTACGCATGAATGTACCGTGTAGGACAGGAGTTCAAAGTTTCGTAGGATTTTCGAATACAAACATTTGACGAAGATAGAATTAAACATTAATGAAGCAAAACAAAAATGCTCGGATGTACACATGCAATACGATTTCATGCAAGTACCTCCTCGCGTCATAACTCGCGTGACCGTACTTCGATCCACTGCAATGACACCGTATACATTTTATTTTTTATATTACGTACATATTTTCAATACATAATCAAAACACTCGAAACCCATGGGAACGATAATACGATTACGCTGTGTGCACGGTAGAAGGATTGTGGGAGGGAATACGTAAACGCGTTCGAGCCGCGAAGACACACTACGTGAGCGCCACGTGCGATATTTGTTATCAGGCTTCAGGACTTAATGCACAAGCACGTTCTTGCGGACTAAATTAAGGTGAACCTCTCAAAATTCTTAACATTGCAATTTTCCTTATTTCGATTACGTTATTTGAAAAGAAAAAATTCAAAATACTTTTATCAATAACACATTCACATGAAGTTGGTCTTTGTTAGCAAGAAAATACGAAAATCGTGCAAAGGAAATATGAAAAAATGCATAGATACACATTTTAAACACTTTGAAATTGATTGTTTATTGTTTTAAATACACTTTTATCTTTTGATCGCTACCATATTTTGAAAATAAAATTATTGAAAACGCGCATAACATGTGCGTGCATAGGTGCGCATTAAAGTCAGGGGGTTTACGCTTATAATGGCTTAGAGTGTTTTCTTTTTTTCGACGGTCACAAAGTAGTAATGCAGGCCACTAGAAAATCCGATGACGATAACGATTAGCAGCTTGTGTTTTAAATTGTATTCTTTACATTTTCTTTTTTAATCCGGTCAAGCGTCGAGAGCCGCGTTTTCCGTTATCCGCGCAGACTCCGGAGCCGCAACGAAACCGTAATAACGCACCGAAACGTTTTACACACGTGAAAATATGCACCTATCCCTGTTTACCATTTCTACCGCGCGCGGACTGTGCAGCGCGTCGTACACGACAATCGTTACGTTATTAATGTATACCAACCGCCTTATTGTATTAACCGACAGCCCCCTCGCGCCTACCACACGGCCGGTACGCGGAGGACGCGCAGTCGGTGTGAAACGCGCGCGCGCGTCTTGGTCCGTTAAACTTACAAATAGGACCGTAATTACGTATGCCGCGCACCACCGCCGGGTCCACACACACACATTACGCGTAACCTCGCGAGCGGTAATGGTTTTGGCGGTTATACACCCGTACACACGCACGGTCGTTGGCAATAGATAAAAACCGCGGTTCGTATTGTGCACAAGCTGCTCGGTGTATCCCGAATGTGTATTCGACGCGCGATGCTATCGATTCGACCAAAAAGTTGCACGTCGTCCGTGGGATATCGCACGTCGCGGAATACATTATCTCACGAGTTGTTTCTTTCTAAACCTCCTTCCGTTTTTCGATGTACGCACGTTCAAGTACCATTACGTGTACGTACGCGTGTGTGAATTGATGCTAACACCGTTCGCGAATCTTGCAACGCGCACCGAGTACAAAACCGACCGACGTGTCGGCGGCACGTAGACGAGTTCACGCCGCAGCGGAGGGAAGTTTGTTGAATTCTTTAATAACGTTCATCGTTCCACAATCAGGATGAATGGGCTACCGCTGTGGCATTGCATTACGTACACCGTGACCAACACCCATGACGGCGGCGCGGTCGTTCCCATGGAACCGTTCGGTTTTTTTTTTTTTTATTCTTTTACTATTACATTATTTTTGTTTTTTTTTTCCTCGCAACCGGTCGCGAGTACATTTATCCGCTGCCGCGAACTACTCCGGTGAATTTTCTCCATGTGCTCTCCTACCCCCCCCCATTACCATCGATGATATTTTTCTTTTCCGTGTAACGAAACCATACGTCACCCAACACGTAATAATACGACGAACACAATATTCAATTCTCGTGGTAAACGTTAGCCGAAAAAACACCTGTTTATTCACGCACCGGCGACGCGAACTTTTAAACCTATAAGCTGGGTCTCCGCGGCGGCGGCATCGCCGTCCGTTGGAACCGACCAACCCCCGCATGAAAGCTGCAGTGTTGCCAACGAGTTTTCCCGCGCGGTCGGGAAAATTAGCCGCCGTCGCGTTATTGATCGCGGGGCCCACGGGCAAACTTGCGCACAGCGCCGCCGGGAACACCGGGTGCTACGACGACGTTCGCGACCGGACCGAGTGCAACAAGTGTGAAACGACCTTTTTTTTTCTCTTCGTGTATTTGTATTCGCCGCAGCCGACCGGGCGGCACACCGATCGATAGCGACAACGACTCAAAAGGATAGACGGTCGTCGTTTAGCCACAAAGAAATAATCCCCAAAAAAAGGGTTTTACAATTGTCTACACACACACACACATATATATATACATTTATACGAATAAGAACGAGAAGGGGTAAAAAAACAACCGTACGTCGTCCCTATACTACGACTCGTTCCGGAGGGTGTATTCGTCGCCGGTACGTGGGGAGAAGATAAATCGGTCGATCGGAATTCCGGTCGGACCGTGTACGTGGTACCATAGATAAGAAGCGACGCGTGCAGTGTTCGTGAACGCGAGCGCATGTCGTACACATATCGTGTGTGTCGTTAAAGTTTCGTGGCCCCACGAAAATCAAACGCAAAACCTATACGAAACGAAGATCAGAGCACAAGATGGTAACAACAATAACAGTAATCTTATCGACATAAAAATAATCATAGTAATATATATTTTTTTTTTTTTTTACCTCTTATCAACGGCGTGTAATGCGTTTTGGTATTAACGATACCGCGACGAAGGTATATTGTTATTGTTGAAACGCGCGACGACGTTCAGCGGCGTGACAACATTGCAACGTTGCCGGGCAGCTCAAACGTGTAGAAGCGGCGGCAACGTGGCGCTCGCACTTTCCACCGCGCGAAAAGCTATACGCGTAGCGAGACGCACGCACGCGACGAACGAACACGAGTGCGCACGAACACACGCGCGCGGTAGACGCGAACGAACGAACGCACACGCACGCACACTCCGATAGCGGTCGTCGTACCCGGGCGCATGCGTACCGACGGTAATACGCGGCGGCGGCGGCGGCGGCGG